TTAAACCTCTTCATCCAGGTCTAGTTTCTGAATAAAAACTGTATTATACAAACTGTTATACTGCAAATGTTATGCCTGTTCTTGAGTGTGTGCTTCCCCTCTGTATGGGGATATGTGACCTTTAATTGTGATCATCAGCTGGGTTGGAACAAGAAACACCATCAGACTGGTAAAACACACTCTGGGGATGTCTGTGGTGTTTCCAGAGATGACTGGCACGCTGGCCAGCAAGCTGAGGTGGGGAGATCCACTTGCTTGTGGGTGGCACCACCCCAGAGACTGGCAGCCCAGACAGGATGAAGAGCAAAGCAAAGCAGTTGGCCTGCATTTCAAAAGCTTGATTCATAAGCAGGGGCATCTTCCGCTGCTACGGCCCCCTGTGGACACTGGACTCCAGCTTTTTCAGCCTGTCAGCACAGATCCATACCAGTGAATGATTACTGTCAAGTGGACCTAACGGGGAGCGACACACCCTTTAGTCTTAGGCTGACTCAACACCCTCGATCCCTCTTGTTCTGCCACTTCCTTTCTGGGCTGAGTAGTGCCTCTGGCTCCCCGGCATTCAGACAGCACTGCAGACTTGCCCCACTCTGGTCGTGTAAGCTGATCCAACACAGTCAGGTATATTTCATCTAGAAAACCTAGGCCAATACAGTTTAATAGTGGCTGGCCTTGCGGTGGGTGGAGGAGCCTGTCCTGCCCGTGTCGGGTAGCCGAGCACATGTGTTATGAGTCATAGCACTTCTGAGCAGCAGCTGTAAATTCATTTGTGTGATTCTCTTGCTACGGTAGTTTTCCCAAGAACAAACAGGCTGTTCCATCAGCTTAGTCTAGAGCTGAGCGCTCAGGATAAGACATGTAAAACAGGCAGGGATGAACTCAGTGCGCAGTCCCTTAAACGATAGAGAAACATTGGTTGTGGTGAGCCACTGACATCTTAGGCTTGTTTGTTGACAGAGCAAAGTATGTGGATTCTGGTGCCTACAGTGAGTGATTACTGTGACAAAGCCTGAAAACATGTGAGACTGGTTTCAAGGCCAGTGCTACCACAGCTCATGGGGGCTGGGAATTTGGCAACTCACGTTATATGACAAAACATTTGGTAAAATCATTGTCTGCAGTAACTTACACCTAAAGTATGGTGGGTGAGAAGGTTTAAAGACAATGTGAGGGCAAGGGGTATAGCTCAGTGGCACAGTGCCTGCCTGGCAAGCATGAGGTCCTGAGTTTGAGGCCCAATACAAAAAATAAAATAAAAGACAGACTGTGAGTAGCATGAATTGGTTAGTATTACTTGTACGTTAAAAATATGCTTACAGGGCTGGTGAGATAGCTCAGCAGACTTATCACCTGCTTAGGCAAGCACAGGGACCGGGGTTCGATCCCTGGCACCACATGCTGTGCCGGCCCCACCCCTGGGTGTGCTGAGCCAAGCAACTGAGTCCGGGTGTGGTGGTGCATGCCTGTAATCCCAGTGATGGGGAGACTGAAAACAGGAGGATCAATATCAGTTGAAACTGTATAGTGAGACCCTGTACCAAAATAGAAATAGAAATTTCAGGACTTAGAACATTGACAACATTTTTTATCCAACTTCTGAGAAAATTTAAAAATACTAGAGCCAAAAAAGCTGTGTAGGACATTGCATGCCTTAATGCCTACCATCGTAGAACTTGAGGCAGGATTATGAGTTTAAGA